CAGTGAGCAAACCGGCCATCCCTATATAGGATCCGAACCCGTGGCCTTGGTGTTATCAGCACCGCACTCTACCGAGTGAGCCACGGGCCGGCCTAGTAATTCATCTTTTATACATTGATTTACAGTGCTGCCTTCATCACAAGCTAAATTACCATATGTATTTATTTGTCTAGGCTTTCTGTCTCTGTGTTTAGTGTGTGTCTGCATTTAATAGCATCAAATTGTTTTAACATGGCTTTATATTATGTTTTAATGTCTGGTAAGACATTATGTATTTTTTTTTAGATTTTTCCTAAGTATTCTTGCACATTTATTTTTCCATATGAACTTTAGAATCAACTTGACTAGGAAAAAAAATCCTGTTGGCATTTTTATTGGGATTTCACTAATATTGAAAATCAATTTATGGGAAATGACATAGATGTAGCATTGAGACTACCTATCCAAGAACTGGTTATAGTTCTATTTATTCGAGCCCTCAATATCCCTCGTTAGACTTAAAGATTTTTTTCCATGTCAGTCTTGCATACTTATTTCTTAAGGGTATTACTAGGTATTTAATATTTTTGTTCTTGTCACTTTTCCTATCATAAACAGATTATTTCTTCTGTTTTATTGTCTAACCAGTTCTTATTTATATATGAAAAAGGTAGTGATTTTTTAAAGATATTGATTTTTGTATATAATGTTGTATTTACCTACTTTATTAAATTCTCTTATTGTTTTTAATGGTTACATTTGATTTTTTGAATTGTCTGGATGGTCATATCACCTGCCAGTAATGGGTAGTTTTATTTTCTCCTTTCCAATTTTTATTCCTCTTATCTAATTGGCCAATTCCTTCAAAACAATGTTAAAAAATAGTGGTGATAATTGACATCTACATCATATTCCTCACTTTAATGAGAATGTTCTTAGTATTTTAACACTGAGTATGATTCTGATTTTTGGGTTTGAGTAGAGAGAAATGTGTTTTATCAGGTGTATTAATTAGTCCATTTTGTGTTGCTATAACAGAATACCTGAGACTGGGTGATTTATAAAGAAAATGAAAATAATTGCTTACAGTTTGTGAGGCTGGGAAGTCCAAAGTCCATCTAGTGGTGGCAACAGCGACCCAGTGGTCTCACACTGCAAGATGATGGAAGCAGAGAGAACAGAGAGAGAGAGACAAACAGACTCCTCTCTTCTTTTAAAGCCCTCCGAACCACGCCCTTGACCACCATGTTTAGTCCATTCACTATGGCAGGGTCCTACAGTTCAATCACCTATTTAAGGCTCCACCTTTCAATTACCGTAATAGGATTTCCCACCCTCTTAACAGTCACAGTGAGGGCTCAGATTCTAATACATAAACTTAGGGAACACAATTCAAGGTTCAGTGAGTTTTGGGAGGACATAATTCAGTCCACTACCTCAAGTTAAGAAAGTATCCATCCATTTTTATTTTCTTGGTTACATATAGCTGACAGTTTGTCACTTTTGTTGGTCTTTTCAAAGAACTTTTGATTTTACTGATGTTTTTTCTATTTGTATTCTATTTTATTTATTTCTGCTCTAATCTTGTTTTCTTCCTTTCCCTTGTTTTGGGTTTACTTTGCTCTTTTTCTAGTTTCTTCAGGTGGAAGGGTAGGTTATTGATTTGAGATATTTTTTCTTTTCTAATATAGGTTAAACTTAAAGTCTATAAATTAAATTTTCCTCCAAGCATTACATTAGCTGTATATTTAACTTTGGGTATGTTGTGTTTTTTCAGCCATTTCTTCTATTTCTGTTCTATTAAGAGTTTTTTTAATGGATATCATTCATACATCTTTAGCGTCAGTGGAGGCGATCATATGACTTCTCTTGTTTTGATTTATTAATAATGGCAGATCATATTAATAGCCTCCTAATACTGGCCCATCCTTGCATTCTTTTTTTATTTTTATTTTTTGGCTGCTCACCAATATAGGGATCAAACCCTGGGTCTTGGCGCTATCAGCACCTCGCTCTCACCAACTGAGCCAACTGGCCAGCCCATCATCCTTGCCTTCTTGATATTGATTCCACTGGATTGCGTTGTATTCTTGTGATGTTCTGATACTCTTTATGTGGTGAAGTTTTGGGGGTTTTTTTAAGGATTTTTTAAAATTCATACAGGTGAATGATATTCTCTTTTTCTTTCTTTTTTTTTTTTTGGCAGTTGGCCAGTAAAGGGATGTGAACCCTTGACCTTGGTATTATCAGCATCACACTCTGAGCCAACCGGCCAGCCCTTGAGCAATATTTTCTGAAGTTTTATTTTTTATTTTAGTAGATTTTTTTTTTTTTTTTGTCCTTTTTGAGACCGGTTGCACCGCACTCAGCCAGTGAGCGCTGTGAGCGCACCGGTCATCCCTATATAGGATCCAAACCTATGGTGGGGGCACCGCTGTGCTCCCAGCGCCGCACTCTCCCGAGTGCACCACCGGCTCGGCCCTATTTTAGTAGATTTTATCTATGTATGTTGGCTTTGTAGGAAGTGTTGGGAAGCTTTTTTTCTTCTTCAGTGATATGAAACATTTGAATAGTATTAGAGTTTTCTGGTTTGGGAGCGAATTCACTGATGAAACCTTCTGGGACTAGTGCTGCTTCCCCCTCCCCCCCCCTGTTGTCCCCTTCCTCTCCCCTCCCCCTC